CAGTTCTTTGGTCAGGACAGCTTCTTGGCCGTGCCCGCACGCAGGCCTCTCTCTTGGCCCCTTGCTTGCTTGAGCAAGTGTTACAAAGCTCTTTAGTACCACCAATAAGTGCCTGGAGGCATCCCACTCCACCAGTAAGCTTCAGTCTGAACATGCTCCGTTCTCTTGCTCCATAGGTCAGCACACCCACTACAGCTGCCTCTCTCCATGGGTCAGGAGGCCCACTGTGCCGTCTCACATCAGCCTCCTAGTTCTGCTGCCCCCACTTCTCTGTTACAGCAGTCTCCTGGGTCTAGGAGGTTCTCAGCGCAGGGACCCCAGGTCCAAAGGACGTACTCCACTCCTGGCTCTTCTTCTTGATGATAGTGAGGTCCCCCCATTAGCCTCTGGGATTGGCTTGTTTTAAGCCTAAAGGGATGGAAAACTGACCAATCCCTTACAAGGGTTCCAAAAGCACCCCTGCAAGGGTTCTATGCATCTTACTCACATACTTAGCAGGCTGTCCAATCCCCTTGGTAGGCCACAAGCACCTTATTTGTATAGTCCCACCTAATCATTTTGTGTGAGTCACAAGACCATGACTAGAAGGGCCATACTACAGTAATTCAGTACACCGCAAGGACACCTAACAACAACCACCGTTATTTAGCTCACAGCAAGGGCTTTCTCTCTTCCAGAATCCACTTCCATTCTAATCCAGTCCCCCAGGGAACAGCAACAAGTCATTCTTTGTCTACAGAAACCACAAAGATCTGGTTTGATAGGGTTCCATTCTCCCTTAAAGGTCAAAGAACTGCAAAGGTAGTAATTAGCTTTATTCCATCCTTGGTCAAGTGCATCTTCTGATATATTAGATGGTATCTGTATATTTCTTTTCAAGGAATCTGGGCCAACACTCATTCTTAATCTTTCTGTGCACTGCAATTCTTTCATATTCTTCTTCTTTTCAGGTCATTTTCCATCTGTTCCTTTTTATTCATCCGGAATCAAGTAAAGACTGTGGTGACTCACTAGATTTATTAAGTTTACTGAACAATAAACTGGTGTTGAGGAAAAATTGAATTAATAGGAGGTCATGTCAAATAGTTTGGCAGAAGAATAGAGATGGGGTCAGTAGAAAATAGGAATTATAAGCATTGTCTTGGAAACCATGAATGGAACTCAGTTCAGTCCCTGCAGGGCTCTGCCCTGGGTGTAGGGAAACCTTGTCTAATACAATGTAAATTACACTATCGGCAGAACATCACAGAATGCGTCAGAAGAGTCTCAGATAATATAAGAAAAAGAACAGCGTTTTTGGAATGATAAAATAGGTTTCAAAACGCAGACTACAAAAAAAAAAAGAGGGCGAAGATTAGACAAAGATTAGACTGGACTGTGGGACATAAAATGATACTCGTGAAGAGTGTGCTTCTTAGCTCAAGTAAATACAGGAAACTAAATGGGAAGCTCCCGTCCAGAGGCAAGATGAGAAGTCAGAGAGGGACAGGAGCTGGCTGAACGGACACGGGAAATCCGGGGTGGAAAGGAGGAGTGTGCTGTCACAGTACAGGGAGAGCAACTAGGGTCACACGGCAGTGTCTGTATAAATTTTTGTATGAGAAAATAACTTGAACTGTAAACTTTCATTTAAAGCACAAAAGAAAAAAAGGGGGTGGGGGGCAGAATACCAAGAAAGAAAGCCAAGACGTAAAATCGAATAAAGTGAGAGTAGAGATGAGTAAATGTTACAAAAGGTACTAACAAGAATGGATAAAGGAAGTAGATTTAGATGGGGAAGTTGTTAAAAATTTTTTTTTTTCCCAAGCTTGATGACAGAGAAAGGATGGGGACATCTACAGAGGTAGCAGCATTAGACAAAAAGAAACGACAGTGAAGGCAGGCACAGTGTCCAGGATCAAGCACATTTCCTCTTCCCTCTCAACAAAATATTCTGGAGAAATGAGCAGCAATAATACATTTTCCTTTTGGATGCAACACATTTAACAATGATCGTGAAAGGCAGCATGACCACAGAACGCAGCATCCACCAAGCAATAGGAAGTGCAGCAGCAATGTGAGACAGAGGACTGAGACGAGAACTGCCTTGATCTGATAATGTCAGAGGGTTGCCAGGCATTCTACCCCCAAATGTGAAAGTGATGGAAAAGGATTCAGACTTACTCTCTCGAGGGGCGGGTCCTTTGAACTGACTTCTGATAGGTAGCAACGCCATGTTTCCAATGAGTTTGGTGTCAGGGTCCATGAGAGAAGAGTGGTAGGCCTGCAATGGCAAGCCAGGTAAGAATACGGACACAGAAAGAGAGCAAATGTCACGGGAGCAGACAAGGAAAAAAAAGGGGACCCTGTCCAAGATTAACTCGGGGAGAGAAAGAAGGCAGCAGCAGTGTGCTGGAGCTGGCTCTTAAAAGCTCATGAGCCAATTTTGAGGAATTCTGCAAGCTGGTTGTTAAACACAGCCATTACTAAAAATTAAATTATATAAACTTACAATTAAATAAACTGTACTTAAAACAAAGGTTTTTATAGGTTTTTTTTAAAAAAATGCTCAAAACTCACCACTTCTTAATTATTATGTTTTACTATCTCCAGTGCTATTAAAGTTATGTCTTTTGTATCTTTGTGGTGGAAATACTATATTCTGGGGTGCTACTGTACATCCCTTCCCAATTCCATGTTCAGTGATGTCACATTGGCGGCTGGTAGGAGTATTTACACTACAGAAATTGGCAAACACTACATGAACAAGGGAACCCTCCCATCGCTGCTTATTCAGCATCTACCAGGACCCAAGCACTAGCTTTTCAGCTCTGCCACTTCCTGGCTTTATGTCTTTAACCAAGACGTCACATTTCTTCTCTTAGTCTATTTCCTAATTTGTAAAATGAGAAGATATGCTACCTTCAGTGGGTAGGGGTAAGTTAAAAGGGGGAAAAAAAGCGTCACATTTTTTAGAGCAATCTGCATGCTGATTCGTGGGCTCCATCCATGCATTCCATGAACAATTCCTAAGCACCTTCTATGTACGAGTCACAGTGATATAAAAAACAAAAACCAAACCCACTGCCGTTGAGTAGATTCTGACTCATAGCGACCCTACAGTGATATACAAAACCAGAAGTCAGAAAACTTTCAGGCTAACAGAGAAAGCAGACATTAAATGAGTAATCACAGGGGAAGCCTAGGGTACTCTGGGAGCTAATAAAAGGAGGCATGCCCAGCACACACTGGGAGTCAATAAATAGTAGCTATAGGATTCATGGAGTTTCAGGGTGGTACAAATGGTTAACACACTTGGCTGCTAACAAAAAGGTTGGAGTTTCGAGTTCACCTAAAGGTGCCTTGGAAGAAAGGCCTTGTGATCTATTTCCAAAAAATTGGCCATTGAAAATCCTATGGAGCGCAGCTCTACTCTGACATACACCGGGCTGCCAGAGTAGATTCTACTGGAACTGGTTTTTGTGGATTTTTTTAAAATAGAATTCATAAAATATGTAACTACTGTTTGCTCCTTCTCATCATACAGACACTATCTAAAGCAGCCTCTGCTCTCCCCTTCGCCGGTCACCATCTTGTTACCTATTTCCTTCACAGCACTTGTCGCTATCTAAAATTATCTCCTTTATCTGTTCACACATTCACTGTCTCCCCATTAGAACAGGAATTTATATGAATAATCACGTTATTGAACCTCTTCTTTCCTAATCTGCAAAACGAAGACCATGACGGCGATAAATTTACCCCACAGACCCGCTGTCAGAAATGAAGAACAACCAGACCATCAACAATTTTTACTCCCACTCTGAAGCTCATGAAAACGGAAACATTTGTAAATTGGGTGCCGGCCTTGTGTTGGCTCTGGGGACCCTCCACCCAGCTGGCTCGGGGGTGGGCACCACTGCCTAGGTGACAAGGGAGGAGTCCGGGAAGTGGGGACCGACACATGACAAGCAGAGAAAGGGACCCACCCCCGGGCGGAGGAGGAAGTGGGCCTGACAAGAAAAAAGGAGAAGCCAGCCCCTGGATTTAAAAAAATGAAAAATAAAAAGCGCAGCCCTTGGCTCCCGTTCTAGTGAGCCTTTGTGAATCCTGCCGGGCTTGGGGGGGGAGCAGAAGCGGCGAGATGGGGGGTCGGGATTGGAGAGAAGGGGGCGGGAAGGGCTGGGGCGGCCTCCTCTCATGCCCTAGGGCTCTGGCTCACTCCTCCAGGCTCCCGCATCCAACATCCCCGGCTTCCCCGAATCCGGCACCGAGGCCTCCACCCGTCGCCTCTCCTCTCTCCCAGGCCCCCACTTCCTCTCCTCCCTACTCAGCCTGCTTCTCTCAGTGCACATGATTTCTCACCGCCCTCTCCAATCCTCGCCGTCTCCCCAAACCCCCGGCCCAGCCCCTCACCGGCATCTTAGCGGCGCCCGAGCTTGGATCCAAGTAGGAATTATCTGCTAGAGCGCGGCGCTTCCGGTCCGGCTGCTCAGGCGGGGTAGGCGGAAGTGAGCCGGAAGGGGAGGGCGAAGCGCTTCCGGCGTCCGGTCCCCCCGCCGGCTGTTGCGGCTGCGGGGAGCCGAACTGGCGCCAGGGAGCGCCCGAGCACTAGGCAGGGCCTATGTCCCGCATGCATAAGGCGCGCGCAAAACGGAGATGAGTCGGCGTTACAGGATCGCAGTAATCAATCACCTGCTTTGTTTTTGTTTAAATATCATCTTTTCAGTGAAGCCTTCCCTGGCCACCCTATTTTAAATTCAATCCCAGTCCATCCCCTCCTTACCTGTCCTTTTTTCCCACATTTTTCCATACTCCTTGTCGGAACCAACTCGACAGCAACGGGTTTGTACATTATTGTATTTAGTTTACTTTTGAGGTTTGTGCCACTCCACCCATGGGAGCGTCAGAAAGGCAGATATTTTGCACCTTCTGTTCCGTGCTTGGAAACCCTGGTGGCTTAGTAGTTAAGTGCTACAACTGCTAACTATAAAGGTTGGCAATTCTAATCCACCTGACACTCTATGGGGCAGTTCTACTCTGTCCAATAGGTTCGCTGTGAGTCGGAATCAACTCACAATGGCAACGGGTTTAGTTTTTTGGGGGGAATCCCTGCTTATTCCCCCTGCCCATAACATTGATGGTATATAGTAAGCATCAATAAATATTTGTTGAGTGAAAGAACCCAACTCATTTGTCTTAAAAATGGGGAAACTAGGGGGCGGGAGAAGGGAATCGTGCATGACCCTGTACCGCAAATTCATTGTGTAAAGGTAGAGAATGCCCACTCTGGATTTGAATCCAAGCTCTAACATCTAGCTGTGTAATCTTGGGCAAGTAACCTCTTTGTATGGAGCCCTTGTGACGCAGTGGTTAAGAGCTCGGCTGCTAACCAAAAGGTCATCAGTTCGAGTCCACCAGCTGCTCCTTGGAAACCCTATGGGGCAGTTCTACCCTGTCCTATAGGGTCCCTATGAGTCAAGAATCGACTCGAGGGAAACTGGTTTGGTTTAACCTCTTTGTGCCTCAATTTCCTCATCTGAAAATGGAAATAACAGTACCTACCTTGTAGTTTTCTGACGATTAAATGAATTACATGTAAAATGCTTAGAACTTGCGTGCCTGGAACATACTAAAAGCACAGTAGTTTTTAGTCCTTTACTGGAAAGCACCGCGTGTCAAGCCAAGTTCATTCCTGCCTTGGAGCCTTTTCTTCTGGTAACCTTTCAGACTGGAACACTCCCTTTGCCACATGTTCCTACAAATGACTTCTCATTCAGCAAAAATTTATTCTCTCACAGCTCTGCGGGTTATCAATCTGAATTCAGGGTATCAGCAGAGCCACACTCTCTCTGATGGCTCTAGGGGAAGATCCTTTGTCTCTTCCCGTTTCTGGTAGCCCCCAGCGTTCCTTGGCTC